GACAGCAAGACGAGATGGCAAAGAGTTGTTTTCTGCAACTTATTGCACTTAATAACTCTTTTTAACGTCAAGCAATTCTCTGCTATATGCGTCGAACTAAAACTTTGACCTTTTGCAACGTTTTGATTTAAGTAGCCTATTATTAAAATGATAATGATATCGCACGCCGTTGCGATATTCATATTGCGATATTTACATTGCGATATTTCGATATATCGTGCAGCCCTACCATTTGAGGAATAAAAGATAGATCAGTGGGAATGAAAGGCAGTGATTCGCAGTGACCCCTGCTGCCGCCTGTATTGTGGATCTCAGCAATGCCTTTTGAACATATCTCATCCCAAGTTCAGCTGGAGAAACCAAACTTTGATTTCAGCACAACCTGCAAAGAGCCATTTGATGTTTTCCCGTTCTTGCTCTGTAAGCCTGGCTGCGCTTCAGGCACACAGGCACACAGTCACGTAGACCCTGATGATGGACTGGGGGATGGAGAAGCAGGAGGAGGGATGGTAAATAAAAAGGAAGGGTGACCGCAGTGGATGGACTGCACACAAACACATACACACACACACACCCCACATTGTACTGGATTCTATTCTATTGCATTCAATTCACTGGGTTTTCCAGGATTTCTTTTGGTGTACATCAATAAAATTCCAAAATAATTAAGTAAATAAAATTAATATCTTAATATCTTCATGTGTTTAAGTCACATTTAGAAGATTTAAGCTGGCTGATGATAGTGTACATTTTTCAACGATGCAAGCAGTTGAGATTATCTAAATAGTATATATTGCCATACTTATATTTCTAACTGTATATAAAGGGCTTGCTGATAATATAGTTAAATTTTGTGACAAAAAAAGTAATGCAGTGTAGATTTGCTATATAGTAAATATACAGTATATTTTGATCAAAATGCAACCTAAAATATTTTACATATTATAAAAGCATATAGTAATGTTTATTTTTGAAAATCCACTTACTATAATAAAATAAATAAATATAAATATTATATATATATATATATATATATATATAATATTTATATTTATTTATTTTATTATAGTAAGTGGATTTTCAAAAATAAACATTACTATATGCTTTTATAATATGTAAAATATTTTAGGTTGCATTTTGATCAAAATATACTGTATATTTACTATATAGCAAATCTACACTGCATTACTTTTTTTGTCACAAAATTTAACTATATTATCAGCAAGCCCTTTATATACAGTTAGAAATATAAGTATGGCAATATATACTATTTAGATAATCTCAACTGCTTGCATCGTTGAAAAATGTACACTATCATCAGCCAGCTTAAATCTTCTAAATGTGACTTAAACACATGAAGATATTAAGATATTATAAACATTAACATCATGATTTTCTGTAAAGCTGCTTTGAAACAATGTGTATTGTGAAATGTGCTACTCAAATAAATTTAAACGCAACTTGATATTAAATTTCTTATATAAGATACAAGTCATACCGCAAGCCACACAGCTCATTTGCCTCATTAATATTAAATAATTACATAAAAAAATTAAGAATGTGGCATTTGAGGCTAAAAGTGAAATGTACGGGGGCCAGTGATACAATCGCTTCTACATCTTCTCTGCCTTTGCAAATTATAGGTAGGTTTACCTACCTATAACTCCATCCGAACAGCTGAATCCCTAACAAGGACTTTCACGGTTGAGTAGGCATGGCAAGTACGTGTGTGCTGGAGAAAACGTAAAACAGAGAATTGGCCCAAAATCAGATTCCTGTTTTATATGGTCAGATGGGCAGAAGCCACAGCTGTGGCTTCTTTGACTATGCAAGGGTTAAAATGTCCTCTCTGGTGAATACTATATACAGCAGCCTTAGATTTCCTACTTTGAATGCTAATGTTACTGTAGTTCAAAGAGAGAAAGTTGCAGATCTTTAATTCCTATAGCTAAGTTTCCCAAAGCACTAAGAATAACAGTAGTGCTTAATCTCTATATAATTTTTCCCCAATTAGCAGCATTATTTAAGTAGCACATACTGTACACTACTGTTCAAAAGTTTGGAATTAGTATAGTTTTTTTTTTTATTATGTAAAAAATTAGAAATGAATACTATTATTCATCAAGGACACATTAAATTGATCAGAAGTGACATTAAAGACATTGAGAATGTAACAAAAGATTTCTATTTCAAATGACTGAACTTTCTATTCAAAGAATCCTGAAAAAAAGCCCCAATTTTCACAATAATATGAAGCAGCACAACTGTTTCAAACACTGATAATGTTTTTTGAGCAGCAAATCATCATATTAGAATGATTTCTGAAGGATCATGAGACACTGAAGACTGAAGTTATGATGCTGAAAATTCGGCTTTACAGGCATCACAGGAATAAAACACATTCGAATAGAAAACAGAAACAGTTATTTTAAATTATAATAATATTTCACAATATTAGATGTTTAGATAATATTACAATCTTATATGCAACATTACAGGTAATTACTAGTCCTTCTCTCTTGGTGTCTAAAAAACAACACTAAAACATTTTAAAGGGCTTACAATTTGAGTCTACATATTAGTAAACTTACAGCAACATATATACACTCACCTACATTTTTGTAGGACAGGCTTTCACAGCACAATACAGCTAAAACACTGGAGCTCTGTGTGTGTCTGGGAGAAAATGGCATTTAATGGCACTGCTGTCCAAAAACAGCATTATTACAGTAACAAAAAAGACAGGTGGGGGTGAGTGATGGAAAGTGAGAGAGATACTGCTGCCGTACTCTCACAGAAGCTCGAGGAAGCATGAGAAAGCACAGGAAACAGACAATGAAAATGAGCGAGAGAGAGGAACGCTTGCCGCTTCCTCCAGACATTCCTGTATTTCTCTCTCAAACTCCTCCACAAGGCCGCAGAGAGACTCTGATGCAATAACCCATTTGAATGCTGTCAGCTGGTGCGCTTCATCTTGATCGAGTTCTTTGCTGTGCGAAGGCTGGGTAACACCTGACAGCTTAGGTGAGGGACCCGGGCTTTCGCAGACCTCTCTCTCTCACTCTCTCACACACACACACACACACAAACACACACACACACACACAGAATTATTTGCATACTCGGGTGCCTGTCACAGACTGAACGCTGATAAAGGTATTGAGCAGTAGAGTATGACAGAGCTGCTGCATTTACACTGATGTACAACCACCATATCTACTAGGACGCGGGATACAAGACCTAAGAGGTGCAGACTGGTGCGTTTGGCTTGATTTATCATTCAGATAATCTGCTGATAATTTGAGATTATTCACGTCAAGCCCAAAACTCCCCTACCAATATCCTGTAATAGTTGGGGTTCAGGGCATATTTTCCATTTACAAATATTTCTGAGTGAATCTGTGTAAAACAAATCTTCATTTTGGGAGTAGATAGAGTGCTGCAGCCAGGACGAGTCCTTAAACCTGGAAACAGTTAGCATTTTTGTACTTTCAATTCCATTGTCCTGAAGTCAATCTTTTTTTTTTTTTTTTTACGTGTTTTTGGTTAAGTGCCTGAAACAAGGTCTGTGGTTAAAACAAGCTCAAGATATTTTCAGTTTTGTTTTGCAACATAAAATACATGAATAATACCACATTAGTGATTTTGTGAGAAGTTTTAATGTTAAAAGTTTACTATTTTGTTTGTTTTCAAAGTGTGATTTTTGGTCAATTGTATTGAATCAAATCAGGGTCAATTCGACCTGCAACATAAAAATCTTACCCAGAATTCAAACATAATACAAAGGTTAATTCTGGCGATTGCATTTAGGCTTCAAAATTCACAACAGTTGTGTTCATTTGTGAGGATTATCTTGATGAACAAAATGTGTAAGAAAGAATCCAAAGGTTAGTGGAAAAATCCTACTGGCTTCTACTTGTGGGAGCCAGGGTGATGCAAACTTCTGGGATGAACTACAAAAATATATCATCCCTGCAGCACTCTAGAGTAAATATTGCGTAAAATAAATGTTAATTTTGGGAATATATTGCATACTGCTGACAAGATACTGGCATCAGCTATTGAAAAAGCCATATCGATTGACGACAACCATGAGGTTTATAGATCCTTAGCACAGTTCATGAGGACTGGACTTACTATTGGTTTTGAGGCGAGCAGGTTCACTGTTTCTGCTGCCTGCCTGGTTGATAGCCTTGACGAAAAAGATGTAACGTGTGCCGCTCTGCAGGCCGTGGACTGTGTAGTGATTCTGCTTGATATTGGGCACGATCATCCAGCTATCTACAGAGTTATACAGACCTGCAAGGTAAGAGAGACAGAGCATAAAATTAATCACAGATTCAGCATAGTTTTCAATCATTCTTAGGCAGGACTGTGCTAGTACACATTAACATAGAAGAACAGTGCAATAATCACCACGTCACATGCAGATAAATGTTTGAACACACTGTGATTCAAAAAAGAATGAAGTTCATTATTCAAGGCATGTCTATTTCTGTTTGATGTGAAAACACATAGCACACATTCGTAGAGAGACTCGGGATGTTTGCCTCAGGCAAACACATGCCCCCCAATCCAGATTCTCATGATGCACCATTTGCCAAGAATGTCCTTAGGAAACATCAGCACTGCCATTAAAACCACAGGCATTGCCATTCAAGGTGTGTCAAATGTGTGCTATACAAATGCTAACAAGCATCTACTTGCATACATACAGTTCATACATACATATAAAAAAAAAAATAATAATAAAAATAAAAATGATTACAATCCATCCAGAATATACTACTACTACTACTACTACTACTAATAATAATAATTATATATATATATATATATATATATATAT